GTCGCTCAATTTCAATTCCTCGTCGGTAGCTACGCGACTCTGGAACGCATGCGCCTCTCGTAAATCAAACTGACAAGGCATAACATCCAACTAAGTTATAGCTGGCTAGACGGACACGAAAGCACGGAGGAATTAATTTGGCGCATCAACCATCTGGGGACTTCTCTGACCAACCAGTTCGGGTACAACACACACCAATTACTGTAATGTTAAGGAAAACTGCTAAGTGTTTTCCAGTTCCTAACAAACATTCCCCAACCGGATAAGACAATGGAAGGGGACACGCTTTAGGCTGCGTCCGCTCCGCACAGAATTACTTTGTAGGACGACAACAAACTAAACGACCAGTTAATTAAACAGCGCACCAACTGTCGGTGCGATTATGCGTTTCATGCATAGTACCACCGCAGATTTTTGGCGCTAACGTCACTGTTTTTCCCGCCAGATGCTTCTAGCTAAAAGAATTGAGACTGACCACCACGAATGTCAGAAATTATTACAATGACTTCCAACTCATGATCAAAAAATTCAGCAAATAAGATGCCTCAGTTGAGCTATGCCCAACTTAACGCAAGTGAATATTGTTTTTATGTGCGCCTGCCCAAACACGATCCTGGGCCACGTTCAGAGAACTTCAGCACTCCAGCTGCTTTGGTTGCAGAGTTACGTGAGCTCCCACATGCTCGTACGTGAGGGGAACAGGCGAGTTTTTTTTTTTTTTTTTTGTATGCACCTGCCTAAACATGTTCGAGGACCAATCTCTGAAAACCTCAACAGTGTGATTTTTCTGGTTGCAGCGTTAAGTCAAACTCCACATGTTCGTACATGAGGGCAAAAGTGGGTTTTTTAACGCACGTATGCCCAAACACAGTCGTGGGCGATGCTCGGGAAATCTGAGCACTCTGGCAGTCTTGGTCGCAGGGCTACGTCAAATTCCACGCGGTCGTGGGTGAAAGGATACGTGAATGTTATTTTTAGGTGTACCTGCTCAAACGCAGTCTTCGACCATGCTCAGAAAATTTCAGTCCCTGGCTGTTCTGGTTGCGAAGTTACATCAAACTTCACGTGCTCATATGTGAGACTGGAAAGGAAAGTGGAAGTTGCTTTCACATCCACTTGGCCAAACGCCGCCGTCACTCCCAGAAAGCTTCAGCCCTTTAGCTGCTTCAGCTTCGAAGTTACAAAGCTGCCTACGTCATATTTCAAGTGTCCAAACGTGAGATCCAGAGGAGCTGGAAAATTCAATTTAATTTCGCGGGCACGTCAGTGGACGACAAGCAACACTGCAAAATTACAGCTCTCTGCAAGTTCCCAGTCAGCTTAATTATCGGGTTGGTACAATGCTAATCTGGGGAGGGGAAGAGTGGGGCGGGAACGCTGAATTTATAATCTTTGTGTTGGAAGTGGGCAAGGAACATCTTCGTGAAGTTTCAGTCTTCAAGCTTGCGTGGTTCCCGTGACCGCTCTCCCGCCAAAAAATCTTTTCCGTATTCGCACGCAAGAGCCGCGTTGACTTCAGCGGTTATTTTGAGGGCAGAAGCCCGTACCTAGGTGTAGATTAAGCTGCCGAGGTTCCAGTTTTGTAGCTTCTGCAGGTCCTGAGAGATGAAAACTCGGGATGGACGCACATACGGCTACAAACACAGACAGACAAGTGCGCACAGAGACAACCCTTCGACAATATGAAATTTTGCATTGAATGCAAAATACGCAAATATTAAAACTCGGTTTGGGAACTGCACGATTTGCCAACTGACATGCAGATTGTGTAGTGGGGGAGCGTGCGTGGGGAGGGGCAGAGGGGGAAGAGGGAGCATGGGGATGGGAGAAGGGAGGACGGGGGAGGGAGGGAGCAAGGGGAACAGGTGGAAAGGATGGAGATAAAGGGGAGCGAGGAGGGGACTAAGGGGCAAGAGAATAGGAGGCGAGGTGAGGAGGGGGTTGTAGTGTGAGGATGGTAACTGCAGGAGCGGAGGAATGGGGGGTGGGTTAAACGGGAACAGGGGTAAAGAAAATTGAAAGCGAATAAATTGAAGCTGATGCTCAGGTAAAGCTGAGAGCTCTGAGCTTTACCTAAGCATCAGCTTTATAGATGGGAATGTCTGCTATTGATGGCGGAGTTTTTTTTTGCTTTTACTT